GACATCTTTAAAAAGACGCATCTTTAAAAAGACGTTCCACCCGTGAAGCTCTTTTAGATGGAAATTGCTCTTTTAGTGTGCTGAAGCGCACAGGGGAGATGGCCGTCTGCAACACACACAGGGGTAGTGCAGTCTGTTGTGTGCAACCCACTCGACACGGGAAAACCACCGCAGCTGAAGCGCCGTCCACCAGCATGAGAGCCCACGAAGAGCATGTTTGACTGTAGCTTTACTCTCAGCAGAAGGTCAGGAGCAGAACGATAGAACCGCTCGGCTCCGAAGCGAAAAGCTGAATATGCGCTGCATCTGCTGCATACTTATACTCACGCTGTGATCAGCAGCAGCTGGATGCAATAATCGCATGCCAATGTGCATTGGCTCGTTTAGTTTACACTCGAAGTGGATTGGTCTCTCTAAGCGAGATCCCAATTCGTCGTTCATCCGACGTGACGTCGAGAGTGACCGACTGAAAGGGAACTCGCGTTACCTGTAGTGCGTTACCCCCAACACTGAACACAAACATATCTTTTATTGCCCGTTTAAATTAGATCTCTTCCTGCAGTTAAACGAAATCCCTCAAACTGTAACGTCACTTTTTCTGCCGGTGACACATCTGAGTCTTCACCTGTTGGCTCACCTGTACAGGTGAAACTAGATTGGGCGACGCAGCAGATGAAAGCAGAACAAGAAAGTTGAGTTCTCATTTGTCACTGAAGGCTTCAGTCTGACAGCATGCACATTATTAAAGCACACAGGGGATGTTAAGTTATATTTATAATTGAGTGCATGAATAAATGCCTCATAAATGTGCAATTGTTCAGTGCACTTTAGGAAAAAATCGTTGTAAATGCAGAATTCCCAGCTTTGTTGACTTTCATCAGCTGCAGAAATGGAGATTGAATCAATGGTAGCAAACTGTGCACTCATAAAAGCACGAGAAGGTAAGAATATTGATTTGCCTGTTTTTCATTGCATTTGATTAACAGATGTATTTTTAAGAACAAACCAGTATCAAATGTGCTGTGAAAAAGTGTTTTGACAGATTGTAAACAGTCAAAATATATATACATAGGCTATTTTTGAAGTTGTAATTAGAACACGTTATTGGAGTAGGTTTTACAAGAAAATACTATTTCAGTCTTTGAAATGTCATGTTTAATTCAATGTGTTACTTGCTGTTTCTTTGTAACTGTTTGTGAAATTTACTAACAATTTCTAAATGAAAATTGTTTCTACACCAAATTTATTTGTGTGCACTCAAAAAAATTGGTGTCACTCAGTAATCGCTATTAGATTTCACAATTAATTGCAAATAAACAGCAAGTAACACATTGAAATAAACATGAAGATTTAAAGTAGAAACACTAAAATTGTATTTTCTTGTAAAACATACTCCAATAATTTTTGTTTAATTTACAACTTTAGAAAAAACTAAAAAAAATTTACAGTGAAGGGATTTTGTTATTACATTAGTTTAAAAAATTTAAACAATATTTTGCTGATTATTTTATAATGATTATGCTTTTATGATAGATTATGGAATATAAGTGCTTCAAAAAATAATTTCACACTGCAGTTAATTTAACATGAACTAGACAAAATAGTGTTAAAAATAAAAAATAATTTGATTGCTAATAAATGTTTAATTATGACATTTTGAAGCAGAATGACTGAAATAGTATTTTATTATAAAATGTGCTCTAATAATCTTTGTTTTACTTAAAAAAAAATTTTTTTTTGCAGTGTACAGGACCTATAAGATACACTTTTCCCTTTATACAGTCATGTAAAATTGAACCTTAAGTCATGTGTTGAGCACATTTTATGCTTAATATCTCATTCGGACACTGAGAAAAAACAAAAATTGTGATGTTTTTCAGTGTTCGGTTTAGTTCCCTGTTCCTCTGTGGGCAAAAGAAATAGCACATTCAACATATTTTCATTTGTTCTGCACCTCTAACCTGAAATACTCTGACCTCAAACAAAACCAGACGCACAATGCCTTTGACGTCAGACGGGCCTTGCATCACAAACAGGTCGGACTTCTTTCACTGCAGTGAACAGCCTGCCAACAATCCAACTAATCTGAGCTCTAAAAATAGATTCAGTTGATGTTTCCAAATATGCAAAACCTGTCATGTTTTGTCAACTTTACAACTAGACAAACTTTTTTCAGCGCTAACTGCTCGAGTGAACAGGTGTAAGTCATTCTAAAATACTTTCTCACATAATAAAGCTGTAGTTTTTTGTGTGGTGAAGAGTATTGTCTGGGTGAAGGAGTCCATAAGGTGTGTCCTCTCATATCTGATATCTACAGTTCCTACAGCTTCATTCCCACTGCTATTTTTAGCACAGGCCCATATAGTAGAAGATGCTGTGCATTCTTTTCAGTTTTACTGTCAACAAACCGTCATTCAGACAAAACACACACACACACACACACACACACGCAGGTTTGTTTTTATGGTTTATGGGGACTCTCCATAGGCGTAATGGTTTTTATACTGTACTGTACATTTTCTATTGCCCTACACTAACCCTACCCCTAAACCTACCCCTCACAGGAAACTTTATGCATTTTTAGATTTTCCAAAAAACTCATTCTGAATTATTTATAAGCCTTTTGAATTACGGGGACACTGAAAATGTCCTCATAAATCACCTTCTCGTTGTAATACCTATGTCATACCCATGTTATTATACAAATTTGTGTCCTCATAAACCACATAAACATGCACACACACACACACACACACACACACACACACACATACACACACACACACACGTGATTAATAAACCATCTATGTTTCAAAAACAATATTTCTATAGTGACTATGAGTGCACCGCATGTAACTTTTTCTCAACACCAAAAGTCACCTTCTGAAGTACTTGATAGAATAATAAACATAAATACTATTATTCATATTTCTAAAATATTTTTAGGGAGGTGTCGCTCTAGTATTGCTGAAAATTTCAAAGAGCACACTTATGGATGGCTAAAGTACCCTAAAAGAGATTATTAGGCTAATTAAATAATTTTTAATAGTATTTTAATAGCATTTAATGTACATTTTGTTTCAGTTAATGTTTATTTGATTTCAATTTATTTATTTATTTTTTTTTTTTACCTACACAGACACACATATATCTATGTTTACATCATAATAGTATTTATTGCACTTTTTATTATTTTATTTTAGTTCATGTTTATTTTAAGTATCAATTTTTATTTTTTAATTAAGTATAATCATCGTAGTAATGAAAAGCAAATTTTGATTACTAAAAATGTCAATGATGCACATTTATGGATGTCTAAACAAACAAACCCATCATTAAATGTACCTATTTAATTTGTAATATTTCACGGAAACACAATTGCGGTGTTATTTCATGTTATCCAAATGTCTTTTTTAATAGGTCTAATCATTTCTGAATGCCACATAATGGACATATAATAGATTTGATGGTTCATTACAGGTTCTTTAAAGCACTCAAATCAAAAGTGCTCTGCAGGTTCTCATATTACTTTCGACTGTAAAGCTCTTTTTTGTTTCTCTGTTTCTTCTGCTGTGCAGTAGGTAACGGTGGGAACCGCAAAGGAAGGAGTCGAAAATGGAAGGAATTTCTGCGTTTCCCGCACATAAACGAGTGCACAGAGCTGGAGGAACGCATTGGTGAGAAGTTGTTTGGGTTTGGTTTTTAAGGAGTTTTAATTCCTTTGCAGCAGAGTTCATATACAGTGACACAGATCCTGCACTGCACATATACACCAAGGGAAAACATCAAATGATCAATACTTCAAATGAATAAAGATAATGTCCTGATTGTTGTTTTTAAGCTGCAATTATATACTTGCATTTGATTGCATGAATGCACTGTATTATTTTCTGTCCTTCAGAGCGAGATTATTACAGTCTGTGTGTCAAAGAGCCCATTGGAAAACATCTCTTCCGGCTTTTCTGTGCAACCAAATCTGATCTGCAACACTGCATCGACCTGTTGGATGAAACGGTATGATCTTCTGTCAAGTACTGGGCTTCCAAAACAGGGTTTGTGAGTTAATGTAAAGCTTATCATTCTTCAAATCAAATGCAGAATTAGAATAAACAAATAAATGAAACACCTGAAATAGCACTATATATTCCATCAAATCTCTACATACAGTCAGTTGCACTGCATGTTTCAGAGTGAAGCACGGCACTTTGTTCATTTACACGCGTGCGGCTTATAATATAGTATATTTTCAGAGCGGCTTGTGCTGCATCTCTGCAAGCGCTGTGAGTTAAAAGTGCATTTGGAAATGCCAACATACACATTCATGTCATTTCTAACATTTTTCCAATATTACACCAAAATAGAAGCTTGAGGGTTTGAACGTTTCAAAGTGAAGAATATACTGCACATATTTGTATTATAGCCGGTTATTGTAAAAATGCGGCTTATAATATAGTATTTTCAGAGCGGCTTGTGCTGCATCTCTGCAAGCGCTGTGAGTTAAAAGTGCATTTGGAAATGCCAACATACACATTCATGTCATTTCTAACATTTTTCCAATATTACACCAAAATAGAAGCTTGAGGGTTTGAACGTTTCAAAGTGAAGAATATACTGCACATATTTGTATTATAGCCGGTTATTGTAAAAAGTGAACTTAGTGTTAAAACCCTTAAAAGTAGGCTAACTATTTCTATTAGCAGTAGAGTCTTTTGTTTTTTGTGTCTGAATGAAAGTCATATAAAATGTAATGTCTTGTCACAGTTCAATTTCAATCGAAATATATGGCAAGATAATCACAATACAATGTTTGCCTATATATATATATATATATATATATATGTGAAGAGTTCATTTGCAAAAACAGATAACTCAGTTTTTAACCATTCTCAGACATGTTTTTTCATTGTGCATTCCAATTAATCAACTTTAGTTGGGTTATTTTGATTAGGTTAAAAAATAACTAATAATTACAGCTAACTTAACATTGCAGTAAAATGTCACTAACTTGTCTAAACGACAAGAAAAAGGGCTAGATGACTTTCATGTGAAGGAAAGTGTTTTCACGCTCATGTATGTGTTCAGTCCTCTTGGGTGCGTGTGATTGTCGATGGGGAACTTGACAAGTGCAGCTGTGACCTGGAGCTCAACGCTTCTGAAGATATATTCAGCAACTACCAAAAGTCAGTTCCACAAGTTTGGTTATCAATGCATCTGTACATGCATGTCTGTGAGCATTGACGTGACATTTATTTGGTCTTGTAGGGCACTTCATGAGTGTCTAAGTGGAGCTCCATTTGCAGAGTATCAGAAAAGCATGTATTTTGACCGATTTCTGCAGTGGAAGATGGTGGAGAGGTTAGTGTGTTTCATTTTAAAGGGATAGCTCACCCAAAAATGAACATTTACTAAATGTTTACTCCCCCTCAGGCCATCCAAGATTAGGAGAGTGTTTGTTAGTTTTTTGTTGTTGTTTTTTTAAAATAAAAAATAAAACAAAAAAGAAGATAAACATAGATAAAGTAGAATTAAAATAGAATAGAGAGTGTTAGAGTTAGAGGGTCAAATAAAGGTGGAACAGATGTGTTTTTAGTCGTTTCTTGAAGATGGTTAAGGACTCAGCTGCTCGGATTGATTTGGGCAGGTCATTCCACCAGGAGGGAACAGTTAATGAAAAAGTCAGTGAAAGTGATTTTGTGCCTCTATCTATCTATCTATCTATCTATCTATCTATCTATCTATCATCATCTATCTCTCTGTCTGTCTATCTGTCTGTTTGTCTATCTATCTAGTGTATCTCTCTATCTATCTATCTGTCTATCTATCATCGTCTGTCTGTCTGTCTATCTATCTATCTATCTATCTATCTATCTATCTATCTATCATCTGTCTGTCTGACTGTCTATCTGTCTGTCTGTCTGTCTATATCTATCTATCTATCATCGTCTGTCTGTCTGACTGTCTGTCTGTCTGTATCTATCTATCTATCTATCTATCTATCTATTCCCACCACAAATAAAAGGTAATTGCTTTTTATCACACAATTCAGATTTTTATTTTTTTTTGCAATTGTGAGTCTATGTATGTAAGGTTCAAGTTTCTTACATTTTTCTTACAAAAGTAGATGGTTTGTACACTCTCATAAAAAACTTTGTACCTTTTTATTACCTGTTAGATGATGTATATAATTTTGCATTCTGTCCCTGTTTTCTGACAGGTCACATTCGGATCTCTGATTTAGGACTAGCCATAATCTTGAAAGAAGAAAAACTTGTGAAGGGCAGAGTGGGAACAGTGGGTTACATGGGTATGAAAATCATCTTAGTAAATCGTATTAGATATTAATATATTTATTTTATTTTATTTATTTATTTAGTCATTTAGCAGATGCTTTTATCCAAAGCGACTTACAAATGAGGACAATAAAAGCAGTCAAAACTAACAAAAGAGCAAAAAACTTGTGAACTTGTGAAGGGGAACAGTGGGTTACATGGGTATGAAAATCATCTTAGTAAATCGTATTAGATATTAATATATTTATTTTTTTATTTTAATTTATTTAGTCATTTAGCAGATGCTTTTATCCAAAGCGACTTACAAATGAGGACAATAAAAGCAGTCAAAACTAACAAAAGAGCAA